AGATCAGTGTTTAGTCTGGGATCAGTGTTTAGTCAGATCAGTGTTTAGTCAGAACAGTGAGATCAGTGTTTAGTCAGATCAGTGAGATTAGTGTTTAGTCAGATCAGTATTTAGTCAGATCAGTGTTTATGTCAGATCAGTGTTTAGTCAGATCAGTGTTTAGTCACAGTTTAGTATTGTTTTCCATAGTATCTCCATGTGTTATTCTCAAAAGATTCATGTTTTTAATTTCAGAAAATCAAAGATTGTAGTTTGGAATTAGTTGAATTAGAATTACGCTTCCATGGTGCAAGAGTATCACCAAAACTGGATGAAACTGTCACACATGTAATCTGTGACGCAAGGTAGTTATCATATTATAACACTGTGTTTAAATATTTGGACATGAATGCAAATGAGTATTTCAGTTTGTTAACTTGTAGCATCAAGTGTGTAAACTGAAATTAAGACTTGTCAAAACTCGAGTTCCGTTTAGTGGATTCGCAGTCAATTCATCCCATTTTTTAATTTTCGCATTTTTATTTTTAATAAAACATTTCCTGTGTTATTAGTTTCAATTTATGGTATTTTGTGAAGTTTTAGAATATTTCTATAGAACGCTGCCTTGAATGACGACCACTGGCAAGCAAATACAATAACCGTTTTGTGGTTTTTTTTGTTACAAAGTTACGTAATCAATATGTTATTTATCCTTAAACATGGTAAAAGCGTTGATCCTCCATGTCAATGATTTAGTGAAAATTTGTTTACCCCTAATAATTTGATATACAATTGTTGAACTGGTGTTTTATTCATTTCATGTTGTCCATATTATTAGCATAACAGTATAACCCAACGTCAACAAAACAAAATGGCGTAATGAATATATGCATGCATGATGAGCACATGAACAGTTTGTTGTTGAGTAAATCTGAAGAATCAACTTCTGTGATGCAACAACTTGGGACGAATCAACTGCACTCCGTTGTGTGGTCACATTAATAATTATTCAAAATGACTAATTACTATAGTCTGATAACTGTCTATGGATTTATAAAGACTGATTTGTTTGTCATATTTTCCATTTTAGTGATCTTTCTCGTCTCAAAGACATCAATGAAATGAACAGAGGACGGAATAAGAAATTCCATACACTATCTGTACAATGGGTACAAGATTGTCTTGAGGCAGGCACATTTCGCTCTGAACTTCCATATGGACTCAAGATATCTTAAACACACACAGAAATGTGTATGAAATAATCCACACATGGTGTTCCCATCTACCAGCAGGCATACTGTGTAATGTAACGCAATGGTCTTCACAGTGGTTTTAACCAACCAATAGCGAGAGCAATAGTAGTGTCACAATTACAATTTGCAACGATGTGTGTGTGTGTGGGGGGGGGGGGGTTGTAATTGCCTCTATTTTGAAAACAGCAAGGTATGGCATTCTTGCATTTCAAACCCAAAAAAGCCATGCCTCAGATGAATGGAATTTTAGTTATAACCAACAGACATCATTTCAACTTATTTGATGATGCTTTTTACTATTTGCTTCTTAAAAATAAAACAAATCACTCTTTTTAAGTATTTTAAATTGTTACAGACTTGACTTGTGTAAAATAGTTCTGCTTTCTAAGTGTTTCTACTGTCTATACAGAGTTTAATTGTAGTATAAGACTTGAAGAGTTAACATGTAGAGGGCAGTAACATATGGTACGGGGGGGGGGGGGGTTACCTGTAAGTGGAGATTGGTAATTTAAACAAGTTTGAATATGTAAAAGTAGCATAATTTTGAAATTTTTATGAAATAAATTTTTCGTACTATTTATGTTATGTATCTGGTTATCTGTCAAGTCCCATGTTATATATTATGAAAATTGATTTGAATTGTGTCTCAATGACATTGCTTTTACTCATAGATAGAGGCCACTACTTATACTAACATAGACACATACAATTACAACCAATTGGCACCAGTCTGCCATTTTGAAATTAAAGTGCTCTTTTTAGAGCATGCTTGTCTTGGTTTACAGGGATTTATGGATTTACCTTTGTCCGTCCGTCAGTTCATCTGGAACTGCGTGTCAGACATGCTTAAAACATTCAAACACGCACACAATATCATATTAAAGTATGTTATATATACATCATACATTTTGTTGCATATGTGCAAGTCTATTTGTTTCATAAATGGTCGAATGGATCTTGATGCATGTCAATATGTTTATCAGATTCCAGAGATGCATCTGATGACCTATCATGTTAAAACTTTATATACACATTATACATCTTATGAAAATGGCATTTATGCTATACCAAATCTTGGTTATGCAGACAGCTATTATGAATGTTTGCACAATAAGAGTCCTTGCAGTGAGTGTGCCTGTGTGTGTCAGTCTGTTCCACTGATATCTCAAAAACCATACATCGGTTTTTGATGAAACTTGGTGCATAGATGCTCTGGGCCAATGCGCAGATTTGATTAACTTTGGCTAGAAATCTGTGCATATTAATTACCTAATTTTTTGGTCTCAATTGTTTAAAATGAATGGGTGCGGCTTCTATTAGAGAGTCTCCAATACTCTCAGCACACTAGAGTTCTTTCTAAGCTTTCTTTGATTTCAGATTGGTTTTAAACAACCAAATGCAAACACTGTTCTAGAGCCATGTCTCAGATGTACATTTACCGTTTACATGGCCACCAAATTGTTAAATACATACACACAATGTTTTGTCTTAGTATGAAATTTAGGCAAAACCCTTGAGTGTATTTGAGAAATGGTATAAATCGGGAAGTAAAAGCAACACTAAATGATGTAAATACAAATTTTGACATGTCAAAGCAACATTATGCCTTGTGTTCTGTTTTTTCAGACCTATATTCAAAGTTAGCACAGCTTCAATGCATAAACATTTTATTGGTTATAACATCAAGTTTATTAATAAGTACAAGCAAATAATATACATCATCTTTTTCTCGATTATTGCTATTTTATAATCTATCTCCTTGTATAACAAATCGTGTGAATACACCCCAATCGGCAAAGTGTAAAAGTTGTGCAAAATTTACAATATACAGCACAAATGGGCGGAATATTTAGTAGATGAATGGAGTGGATCAATGCTGTAACTTTCTTGAGTTTTACTTTTTAAACCAAGATCAAAAGTCTGTGATAGATACATTCTACTTGCTGTATGTAAATATGGATAACGTGTTAATTATTGATTCAAATTTTAGAATGCGAAAGAAAGTTAAAACATTAAAAAATGTATCTGGAAAGTCAATTTACAAAGGGTACATTTTCTTTTATACACACTGTGGAAATGTACAACACAGCAAATATATATATATTCATTAAATTCATCGTATTTTGGAATTTATTATTGTATGTGGACGGAAGAAAGCCAAGTACTTCACTCAAGTTAAACGGTTCACGCTAATATCACTTGTGAGTGATAACTACTGTAGTAAAGAGATATGTATTGAAAAAACAAACATTATATACACACGGAGAGGAAACATTCAAGTTATGTACTCTCACTGCAAAATTCCATGTCAGCCCTCATTCATAATATGCAGATTATTAAGCCTGTGATCGCGTCAAATTTATATTGTCAAAATAGTGAACCAAATGTAGAAAAAATGAGTTTTACTTTAGTTATCTAACTGACATAGCAAGGCTACACCACGACCAATCCAGTGAGATTCAGGGTGGGCAGATGGCACATTCATGTCAATTACAAAATTAGTTGAATGACCAGTGGTGGATAGTGTACCACGCCTGTTGCTTGTTTTGTACAGAGGAGCCAAGTATGTTGGCTTAACCGGAATGTCATCTCGTTTGATAGGTTTCAACCAGATCTGTGAACAAGATAAAAAAAAAATGAGAATGTGTACACAAAGTCATGTGATGCTTTGCTACAGAACTGTTGTCGTCAATAATAGCAATTAGACAATACAACTGTAGTAAGTACTGCAATTATTATGATAGCTTACCACTGGCATAGCATCTTGCAGGATTTTGGGATGTGCTTCAGCAATTTGCCTTGTTCTTTTGTCCCATCTTGCACTATCTATAAAGAGGCCATTAATGTATGCCCCTAAATCAAACAAAAACTATGTTAAAATCAAAGTGGAGAAAAACAACTATGATACAACACAAAATGTTTTTTTGGAATGACACATCGGTGAATAGTTTTGTTTTAAATTTTGGAATGCAGATTTATCAAAAAAGTTTGAAAAAAATCATTTGTGGTCCCAACCCCATAATTTTCTCCCGAATCTTTCAGTTGTTGATCAACTTTGATTTATTTTCATGGCACACTTTGTCATTATTTTATAGCTTTTCAATGACAGCTCAAAATATTTCATATGACATTCTACTCATAGAGACATAGCAATCTACTACCCTAGTTGTATATTCTAGTTATTTGTACATAAAAAAACAGCTAGAACTAGGTAGCTGCTTCTGGTTACAAATTCTTGTGATTTGTTAAAATACATAATTGAGCACTAACCATCTTCAGGAGGTTCTTTGTGTTTCTTTTCATCTAAGAAGTCATAGTCAAACCCAAGTAAATCAATGGGTATGGTGTATTTTCTGGCAAAGTTCTGTTGTACACCAGTCAAGAAAGCCTGAGTGAAATAAAATCCAGGCATCCAAAATACTGGTGGTGGTCCTACATCATACCAGTCCTACCAAATAACAACACAATATATGCATTATGTTCCACAGAAATTTTATTTGTCAAATGATTTTATGTGGAAGGTAAGATTATCAGTATTTAACAAGCCATGCATGGCACAGTCCCCGTTAGTTATCAAATTTAAGATATATTATAGTTTTGTTTATAGTAATATAGCTGGAATATAACCATGTCAGGAATATGATTGACATTTGTATCTGATCGTCAAACAGGTACTTGTCCATATTGAGAGTTATTGCTTTGGAACAGCATTCAAAATCAGCCATATATATATATATATAACATGATGTATAACAAATATATAAAATTTGAATATAATCAGTCAAAGCATTTAAGAGATATGGCTCTAGAAGCCCATTCAATAAAACAAAATGGCCACCAAACAGCCATTTTGAATCCGATCTGAAAAATAAATGATGTGCATCAGGAACCTGTAATGTCTAATATATGTACCAAGTTTGAACCAAATCCATCCAGAAATATTTGATTTTTTTTAGCACAAAAATGGCCACAATATGGCCATTTTGAATAGGATCGTCAAACCAATATATCTGTCCATCTATGACATGATGTATAATGAATATTTAAAATTTGAACATAATCAGTCAAAACAAGTTGGAAATATGGGTCTAGTAGCCCATTCATTAAAACAAAATGGCCGCCAGTCGGCCATTTTGAATCTTATCTGAAAAACAAAATTATTTGCATCAAGGTCCCATAATGTCTAATGTATATACCAAGTTTGAACAAAATCCATCTGTAAACAGCCGAGAAATGCTTGATTTTTAGGATTTTTTAGCACAAAAATGGCTGCCATTCGGCCATCTTGAATCAGATCGTAAAACAAATTGACGTGCATATGTATAATATCATGTATGATGTATGTGTGAAGTTTGATTGTGATAGGCATTTCTAAGATACAGTTCCGGACGTCAAAACATAAGTCCCTGTTTTCGGACTGCGTCCGAACGGGGACTAATAAAGTTAGTCTTACCTGTAAAAATTTCAGCCTAGCAAGAAAATCATTGACATAACTGCCAAGTGGTTTCAGTGAGGGATAAGATTTCTTCATCCACATACCCGGTATCTTTCCTTTGAGTATACTCAATACAACCTCTTCTAAGTCAGCAGACATGACTACAAGCCCCTAAAGTAAATAACAACAAATAAGGTTAATTGGCATGATCATATTGTATACATTATGACTGTTCAGTGGTTGGTAACTGATTTGCTTTATGTCAAATATCTGTTATCCATGCATGTTTGGTTCATGGATTACTTGTATCAACCTGCTTTACGAATAAGTGATATCACACGATAATCTCATAATATTCATTCTATATGTGCATTTATGAAATTAAAACTGATAGTACAGGGTTTAATATGTCCTACTGTACCCATAGAGCTTCAGAGCCAAACGAAAAACAAATGTACTGATCTTCTTGTATAAGATAGGTGTACCTTGATAGCTTTTTGTATGTTGATAAGACTGGTCCTCACTGTTTCCAGCAGGTTGTTAAACCTGACCATCTCTTGGACGAGCACAGTGTTCATACTTTGTGTATAGGTGGTCGGGTATTTGCGGAGACCTGCATCAACATCAAAGTTTGGCGGCAGCCTGGCAAGAATTCCTTCAGCCACATCCACTACGATTTCGTCATTGGATTTTTGGCCTCCTGATGATGTACGGGACTGTTTAAATGAAATCAGAGAAATGATGTAAGCAATACTGAAATTTAAAAGTAGTAAACACATGCAACATGCAGTTTATCATGGCAATCAAGAATAGACATTTGATTTGTCTTCAAATACATAATGTAGCTTGTGATGCCTTTTCCTAGTAAGACAACAACCAATATCATCACATCATCTCATAAGTCTTGTCAGACTAATTCAATTCTGTAATACAGTAAGATATCCTCCCTAATTTCTTTGAAATGAGCGGAAGTTATGAAAAGCATTGTTTGATAGCAATTTTAAAACTTTAATGCAAATATTTGCAAAACATGCGTCTATACCTTAAGTTAACCAGTATTATTATAGCAAATACAATTTTAGAACACCTTGCAAACTAAACACAGTTAAAATATCAATCTTTAAAATAAAAATGATCACCACATAACACCATTTCATATTACACCAGAAAAACAACCCAAACCAAAGTGATAAGTATTCATTAAGGGATAACAAAACAAGATCTGCAGTCATTTAACGCTGGAATATCAAAAGCAGTAACAACTATTTAGATCAAGCGAATCAATTAAGTAAACATGCATTACAATGGTTGTAAGTATCACAATAAACCAAGCAAAAATAAATGTATTATCATTAGCATTAAAAAGATTAGTAATTTTACTTTGTAATAGCCAAATCCAATTATTTACTTTTGTTGTGAAAACAATCAACAAATAAACAAACTTCTGAATTGCATCTTATGTTTGACACAATCATATTTTGTTTTATCATTGTTTGTCCAAATTAAGAACAGTAATCGTCAAAAATAACATAACAGCAGCAGCACAGAATTCTTATTAGTAGCATTTGTTAACATGCATTTAGCATCTAAGCGATTACACTATACCTGAGCCTATGATATGATTGGGTGCGGCAACATAGGGGGTCATCAGTGCATAGGATTTAATGACCATATAAGGAAAAATGCAACAGGATTCAGGAGAAATTGGGAATAATAGGAAAATAAAACAATCATTAGATTCTAAAGTAACTGAAAAAAAATGATATATTAGTGATGCAATAGTGTACATGGGAATTCAGTGCAGTAATCATGGTATGATCATAGATGTAATTATCATCATTTTATATACAGCATATGACAGATGCAAATCTGATGTGACTTCAATGCGTAACAAGAAAAATGGCATGCATATGTGATTACAATACAACATAGACTGTCAAAAACACTAAATATACAATTATAAAATATACAATAAAAATTACAATACAATAGTTGAGGCATGCTTCAATACAAACAAGCTTGTAAATAGGCTGTATTCTCTTCCTTGATTACTTTTTTGTGAACATATTTCCCCTATTTTAATTTTTTATTTTATTTTTTATTTTCATATCACATACTATAATCAGAATTGCATGAGAACTGTTTGATCAGTGTACAGTAGTGATCTACAATATACAGACTAGTAATAGAGGAAATACATGTACAGCATTTCTTACATACAATATATGCCATGAAATGTTAAAATAGCTTAGGACAAGATGATTGCTTGATATACAGAATATAAATCATGCTAATTTGTAATGTTTAGATATATGAAAACAATGATTCTGACACGAATCCTACAAAATAAGGTGAACAATTATAGGTCACCAACTCAGATTACAACTGTACAACTATACCTGAGGCTGATCCGCCTAGACCATGTAAATAGAAGTCGACAATGAAAGGCAGTGCAGTGCAATACAAAGGACAATAGACAGCAGTTGATATGAAATGAGCAAGGACATAACAAGGAAATCATTAAAATATGTGATAGTGAGTGACGTTGCAGTGACGGCAGATGAGGTGAGATGAATGATACAGGACAATCAGTCAATGCTAAATACAGCAATGAAGAAAACAGTATAGCATCACAGTTTATACACTTAATTGATGTAATAGTACTGACAATGAATTCTCCATATTTAACTGAGATATTAGCATACCTGTGTGAGCAGGATATTGTCGAATAATAAGGTTGTCTCTGACTGATCTTTAGTAATATCAGCATTTGCATTCATACCAAATATTTCAGGTGATGGATTGATTGGCAGAGATCTAGTATAGTCCAAATAACTCTCATACTGAAAAAAAAAAATAGAAGGATTATAATAAGCTTTCAAAAAGTTTGTTTGACTATAGGTATCACCACAACTAGCGAACATAACAAATTACAGTTTTATTTTCTTGTTTTGTTTTAAAGTCGGGATTAACTTCAATAAAAAGGTACTCTTTACATTAATTCCAGGCACTGATTTAATGTGGAAGTAGTGCTAGATGTTGATAACTTTACTACAATAGGTTTCACAATTACACAATCACAAGTTATTACAAATAATGCAGACGACATGTCTGCAATTTGAAGCGCACCGGAAGGAAGCTCCGCCCATAAAAGTGGCGGTACATTAGTTTTGAATTTCTCATCCAAAAAACGACAGAGGCTCTCAACTTAGTTTCCTACTTCAATTTGCGTAACATGTTATTTCAGTGAGAGGGGCTCATAAAGTGGTGCCGCTGTACATACACCGTCTTCGAGTAGTTTTGTCAAATTTCCTGTTCGTAAATACTCTGTCTCAATGTTTTATAATATTCGATATAGTCTATAACATTGTCAGATTTTATAAGCTGTCTGCTTTGAAACACCACTTCAATCTCCAATCTCAGCAAATGACAGTCCCCAAAAATACAAATTGACAACTCTTGTTTTCACTCAACTGGTTTTTCGACTCTTGCTTCTTCATTGTGGCGTTTAAACAACTTGGACAACACAATGACTGACCAAAAGTGACTGAAAGACAGACGCGTCACAAAGTCTGGGGGCATCAAACTTTGTAGCAAATATATAAAACATTGTGGGCAATATCTGTCAATCAATTCTCTGATTTGCAGCCAATGTTTATATTACTAGTTACAACTTATGTAAATGTGAAAACAAAGTGTGAAACCTATTGTAGAATGTTATCTATATCTAGTACTACTTCAGCGTCAAATCAGTGCCTGGAATTAATGTAAAAGACAAATAATACTCACATCACCATCCTTTGGTGCATAGTAATCACCACTGTTATCAAAACGATAATCATCAGTATCAACGATTCCAGAACAGTAGAATTTCTCCAAAATACTCAATAATGTACGCCTATCATGGTCATCAGTAACTCTGCCACCATAGTTACATTCACCAGTGAGATACTTCAGTGCATCAAACGGTATATGCTGTAGGGTAAATTACAACATTATCCATTAATCTGTAACCCCCTACTATATACTAAGAAACATCCTACAAGTGAAATTAGTCAGCTTGTAATCTGAGTGACCTGATCAGTCATATCTCCCTTGACTTAAAGGGCAGTGGTCATAGTGCAGCATGTATCAAATTTCATACAAATATTTTACCCATGTTGTATACTTTGCTAAGGATGTGGCAATTTGACCACCATCATTTAGTGCTTTTGAGTTGACATGTTTAGATTTGCAATCTCTGAATTTTTTGTTAACCAACAAAACTCACCTCATACTCATTTAGGAACATGGCCAGTTGCTGTACACTAATACGCAGATCAGTTTCATTGAATTCATATGGAATGTTCCAGCCAAGTGGACCAAATTTACGTCTTTCTTGCACCAAGGCATGGAAGAAGCATAATCCATAGAGCAACTTCTTAAATGCTCTCTATAAAATCAAAATTGTATACATACACAATTATAAATTAGGCAGTGAAAGAATAATTAATATCATAATTCAAAGTCAGTAGAAACAGTAATATTCAGATTTAAATGTTGAACAAACCTTAAGAAAGCTACACTAGATGTCATAATTCAGATTAATAAAAAAACTCTACATCAAGATAATGTAGAGCAAACATAGACAAAAAACCTTGACATTTGAACATTTCACTGATAACTTATTTTACAGTGATAGTACAGCCATTTTTTAAATACATGTTTTTTTATGACAAGGTTTATTTGCTATACATTACTGGAGATATCATAATTCATCCCATTGATTTGAATTGCACATTCTGAAGCAAAATTTGTGCATGAATGGTGAGCACCAACAATCAATAATAATAATAAAACCTCCACATTATGTCAAATAAAACAAGCCATGCATGGCACAGTCCCCGTTAGTTATCAAATTTAAGATATATAGTTTTGTTTATAGTAATATAGCTGGAATATAACCATGACAGGAATATGATTTTTTAAGATTAAAATGATTGACAGTTGTATCTGATCGTCAAACAAGTACATGTCCATATTGAGAGATATTGCTCTGGAACAGCATTCAAAATCAGCCATTTTGAATACATATATATATAACATGATGTATAACGAATATATAAAATTTAAATGTAATAAGTCAAAGCATTTAAGAGATATGGCTCTAAAAGCCCAATCATTAAAACAAAATGGCCGCCAGTCAGGCATTTTGAATCCAATCTGAAAAATAAAATGACGAGCATCAGGAACCCGTAATGTCTAATGTATGTACCAAATTTGAATGAAATCCACCCATAAATGCTTGATATTTGATGATTTTTTAGCACAAAAATGACCACCATTCAGCCATTTTGAATAGGATAGTCAAACCAATATATCTGTTTATCTATGACATGATGTATAATGAATATTTAAAATTTGAAAATATTATCAGTCAAAACAAGTCGGAGATATGGGTCTAGAAGCCCATTCATTAAAACAAAATGGCCGCCAGACAGCCATTTTGAATCCGATCTGAAAAATAAATGATGTGCATCAGGAATATGTAATGTCTAATATATGTACCAAGTTTGAACGAAATCCATCCATAAATGCCAGAAATGGTTGAGAAATGGTTGATTTTTAGGATTTTTTAGCACAAAAATGGCTGCCATTCGGCCATCTTGAATCAGATCGTAAAACAAAATGATGTGCATCAAGGTCCTATAATGTCTAACGTATATATCAAGTTTGAACAAAATCCATCTGTAAACAGCCGAGAAATGCTTAATTTTGATGATTTTTAGCAGAAAAATGGCCACCATTCGGCCATCTTGAATCAGATCGTGAAACAAATTGACGTGCATATGTATAATACCATGTATGATGTATGTGTGAAGTTTGATTGTGATTGGTCCAGGCATTTCTAAGTTACAGGTCCGGACGCACGCACAGACGCACGCACGGACACCAAAACATAAGTCCCCGTTTTCGAACTGTGTCCGAATGGGGACTAAAAACCTTTAGAAGTACTCTTACTATTTCAGCAATTGCAAAAAAAGACGAAGCAGCATTAGCTAGCATACCTGATTATTCTACATTTACAAATAATACAGCAACACAGCACAGCAGTGGAAACAAGCAGCAGCAGGAAGATAGCAAAGTTGCAGCAAAAGAATTAGCAGAGCGATAGAGCACATGGAAAATAAATAATCAAAATAGTTAATCAAGATGAATAAAAAGATAGCATTTCAATTGTTAAAAACTCATTGTGTCATTTCTTGAGGTTCACAGGAATTTGCTGAAAAAACAGTGATAATTACAGATCTTGAGTGCCATAGAGAGAAGCAGCAAGTGTTGGTTGCGCTACTACAGTTAAATCTTTTATTATTACACTAATTAATAATAAATAAAGCATGCCAATCAGGACAACAGAATATTGATCAAGCGGCAGTTGCATATAACCTACCACTTGTTTGACTCCATTGAAGAATTCTGGATCTGAGATTGGATCACTTAGATATGATCTAGCAACATTTGCTTTCAATCCTTTAGGTGGTTCATTTGTCATTTTAACACCATTTTGTAGTATAGCTACTGGGAAAGTATCTGATGGATAACTGGTTAACCAGAGACGAAAGTCTGGATGTGTAGCTTCTGGGTTTAATTCCTAAAATGACGAGAGCAGAAAAATAAATTGCATATATTGTCCTCACAGACGTGCAACATAAATAATCAAAATACATACAGTACATCATAGAGATTACCTAGTAAGATGGTCGAGAATGAAATTAGATGATAATCATTTTACCTCACAGGTCTTTTCTAATGTTGGCATCCAAGATGCAGCCAAGTGGCAGTTCTGAAGAACTACCCAGGTACCTTCTTTTATAGCTTTCTCAATCATCCTCATAGCAATGGGTCCTTGTCCTTGACCCAGGGACAAAGAGCTAAGCTTAGCACCACCGAATCCCTGTAAACAGATACATGTGTTATTACACCACAGTGAGAAATACATTACAACAAATTACTGTCTTGTAAAAAAGGATGAGTTGTGTTTCTTTTATAGTATTTTGAAAAGTAGTTGCTACACAATGTATTCAGATATTTGATCTTGTATAACTGCTGCTCGTATATAATGCTAAATTCATTTTACAACAACAACTCAATTATATCATTTATTTTTGGGTGGATAAATGAGTAACTCACTTGATCATCAGCAAACTTGAGTAAAGCTTGAGTTGGATCAGCACCAGGTGAGAGAATAAAGATGAGAGCAGCACAGCAGTAGCTGTCAGAAAATGCCTTACCCAGGTCAAATGGGGGTGGTTCAATAAACTTTCTATCAAGTTTATCAGTTACAAAGTCTTGACATGCCGGGATTACCTACAGACAAATGCTTTCATTGTAAGACTTGTATTATTATGACATGTGAATGAAATCAATCCAGGTAGTTTCCAAATAAGGCTTTGGAAAATTGTTCAAAACAATGTCCAAGGTTATGTTTTGGCAAAGTAGAAATTCTAAATTTTGATGCATTTCACAACAACAAAAATAGACAGCAACCATACAGACAAAACAAGTGTCCAATAATATGTTTTGTATTGATGGGGTGCGAGTGTAATCTGTACAGTTATCTAGTTAGAGCAGCAAAATACAAAGGTCAAGTCATGGACTCATCCCTGAAGACACTGTTCAGCTGCATAGAGTTTCAAGCATGAAATCATGAATTAGTTTCCAAGATATTATATTAATTCAGTGACAAAGGTTTCACATGCTCATCCTGAAGTCTGAGAATTTACTCACTTTATCTGGACGCAGACACCGAAGTAATAACATTTTTTGGAACTGACCAAGAGTATCTTCCCATTCTCCAGGGCACTTTTCATGATGTGGTTCTGCACTATCATATATAGTCTTCCAGCCTTCTTTCTGACCTGGGAATTTCTTGCGAATACCTTTGAATCTGTCTAGGTCATCCAGACGACAGATTTCATCCCATGACTTTTGTGGTAGCCAAGTGGCAGGATTGGAATGTGGATTATCCAACCCAATACCACCAGTAAGTAAGAAACGCCATTCATCTTCATCAACTTCTTTATTATGTTTTAACAAATTTGAACACAGAAGGAAAGAGAACAGCAACTGCAATCAAAAACAAGATTTAGAACAGTTAATTGAGTATACATGTCAATTCTAAATAGCCATCCAGCCATTACGAACACTACAAAGAATGGTCTGGTGAATCTCTATGCAACTAGGAAGTTGACACACATTGGCTGTCTCCATCACCTAATGTGTTACCATGGGAATACACATTACCTGTAAGTAAGACCCGCCCACAACCCTTCAGACCAATTCATTAGCCTATTATTTGTAGATTTGTAATGATCCTAGACGGCATCTGGTCTATACACACATTAGTAATAATAAAGTAAATGTAATAATAAAGACTGATCAAAACTGGCATGTAATAATATAAAATCCATGTAACACAAAAACATACTTACTTTATCTTTTTCAAACAGTGATCTGCAGATGTTACAATACAGAGAATATGTGAAATATTCACGTAATGATTCCAGTCTCTTTTCAAGAATTTCAGACTTTTCTGAGTTGTCAATAGCCAAGATAAACAGATTAATGAACCATACTAGTGAATATTGATACATAGGTTCAATATTTGCCATGTCAGCAACGGTGAAGAACAGAATACTAGAATGTACGGCAATTGGTTTGTAACCCATACGAGTTTTGTCAATCTTTTGCTCAGTTTCTTCAGCAATGGCCTGTTTTTCTGAAATCTCATTGGCTAATACTTTAGATGAGGATAATACTTTAATCGCAGTTTCATCTTCAAGAATGTTACCCTCTGAGGTGGACAACACTTCTAGGATCTTGTCTTCAATTTCCTTCAGTTGTCTAAAAATTACCAAGCAAATAAATATTGTATTTGAGTAAATTAAATGGCTGACATGAACAATTAGTTTTAGCACAAAAAAACACAAATCTTTGTTTATGACAAAAATCAGTTAGAATTACAAGCTGATATAAATCAATAACAACCTGCATATTTGTCATCATTCAATACCTGCTAACTGTTGACAAGATCGGGAAATTAAAATACAGCATGAAGTAAAATATTTAAAACATTTCTACATTTACCTTTTATTTTCTGCACTCTGTATAATGAGGGCATTCTTTTCTTCTTCTAACTCTGGTCGTTCTCTTGCAACAACAATACCTAATAACTGATCCTCCAAACCCTCTGGTGTAATCATAAAGTTTAACAACGTCACCTAAAAACAAAATGGTATAGATAATACTATTATGAGTCTGACATAAAGTACTTCCTCAGTACTGCAATGCACAATGAACAAACAAGACCTAATTAAACTGACCATATGCTAGGGGCTATGAACAGAAACCATAAAAATACAAATGTA